TATTCTTCTCCAACATGAATTTTCACATGGGTCCTAAGATCAAATTATACCTGTGGATTCTCTGCATTCATTGATAGGGTTTGTATCAAGTGTGTGATCCCATGCTTTTTTTGACAATGGTCAATGGAGATTTTCTTATAGCCACAGAATAGAATTTCTCTTTCATATGAGTTCTCCTGTGCACATTTGAATTTGGAATCAGGCAGTCTTCTTAATCCTGATTACCTTGAGTATATTTCTCTCCAGTATATTATATCTTCAACACAGGCCTTTTGGAAATATTTCTCAATTTTTTAGATCATTTTTAAAAAGATTTATTTATTTATGCATACAAGAGCTGGGGTACAGGCCAGAGATGTGAGGGGTGAGAGGATTCACCAGAGACAGAGTGGGGAACAGAACAGGCAGATTGACTGAAATACATTGCTGAGGGGAGCAGTGAGCAAGTCAGGAGAGGTCTGCTGTGCCATTGGGTAGCTCCCTCACTGATGATCGAACTCATGCTGCAGTGGTTGTGGATAACTTCTTAGGTTGTGTCTTAACCCCTTGCATTACCAGGGAGGCCCTCAATTTTATTATATTCTTAGGAGTTCCCCAACATATGAAAACTTAAGGATCTCTAGTGAATATTTCACTGATCTGTGCCTTGGCAAGTATGAGAATTACATAGTATTTTTTCATTATATATGAAGTGGTATACTACTAATTTCAGGTAGGTTGTGATAAGAAAAGAGTATTTATCCTTAGAGCAAATGCTTCTGAAAATATTGTCGCTAAAAAGACCATTTAGTATTTAAAATGGAATATCAAAAACGCAATTAAGCCAAAAGGAAAAAGAAAACAAGAAATAAAAGAACAAAAAAAAAGAGGATGTGGGGCTCCCTGGTGGTGCAGCGGTTGAGTGCTGGGTTGCGGGGCTGTCCGCAGCCTCTACAGCACCGGTTCAATCCCCAGCTGCTCCCCGGCCACCGGAGGAGGGTTCCACATGGCACGCAGACCTCTCCTGCCGCCTGCTGCTCCCCTCAGCAGTGTACTTTGGTCCTTCTGCCTGCTCTGCTCCCTGCTCTGGCTCTGGTGAATTCTCTCACCCTCCCACGCTTCTGACTGTACCCAGTGCTTGTATAAATAAATAAATAAATCTTTAAAAAAAAGGGGTGTGAATTTAAAAAATGCAATAGATATAATCATAAATAATTATATGCAATATAAAATTTAAAAGCAAAAATTATAAACTGGCTAAAAAGGGAAAGATTTAATTCTGTAGTTTACAAAGGAAACAATTAAAATATAAAGACAGAATGGAAGAAAAAGGATGAAAAGAGCTATAGAAGCCCTAAACATAAGAAATCTGAAATGACTCTATTAATATCAGATTAAAAGTATTACAAGAGACTAAAAGGGATTTTTCACAATGATTAGTATCAATTTACCAAGAAGATAAAACAAACCTACCTAATCACAGAACTTAAAAACATATGGTTTCAAATAATGCCATAATTGAAAGGAGAAATGAACAAGTTCACACTCCTAGTTGAAGAATTAAAAGAATTCAATATTTTTTCTTAGTAATTGCTAGTACATGTAGGAAAATGGTGAGAATAAAATCAATTGGAACATCATCAAACAACTTGATTTAGTTGATATTTGTAGAACACTGCACACAATTACACAATAAACATTTAAGTACATGTGTGGAACTCACTAGAGCAACTCATGTTGAAGAACAGCAATTAAAACTCAATAAATTTCAAGGATATTACACACAGTATGTTCTCAGACAAAAACAGAATTATTTGGGATATCAAAAATTATATTCATACATTGTTAGAAACTGAGCAACACACTTTTTGTTAACTAGTGTGTCAAGAGAAACCAACAGAGAAATTATATATAAATTCACATGGAAATGATAATAAACCACAGTGTATCAGATTTCATGAAATGCAGCTAAGTAGTACATTGTAATATATTTATAGCTTTAATATTTTATATCTTAGAGAAGGAAGCCTCATAAGCAATTATTTGAACTTTGAGAGGAACTGGTAAAAGGAAAAAACTAAACTGAAAGTAGGTATAGAAGAGAATCAGAAACATAGGAGTGGAAATCAGTGAAACAGAAAATAGAAAGTAATAGGAAATAACAAACATAATGATTGGATTTTATTTAAAAAATTAATGAAACTGACACAGCAATACTGATAAAGACAAAATGAAGGTATTTTACCAATAATCAGAATGAAAGAGGGATGTTACTACAGATCTTAAATAGATGGAAAAGATGGTATAGGATATTATCAGTAACTTCATGTCAATAAAATTAACATATTAGAAAATAAGTACAAATTGTTTAGAACATAAGTTCCCAATGGACATAAGAAATAAATTGGAATTTCAGCAAATCTACTTAACAAATTGAGAATGTAATTCAAAATCTTCAGCAAAATGTTAACTACAGATTTTTCTATGGAAATTTTATCAAATGCATAAAATGAAAACATAAAATGTCATATACAAACTCTTATAATAGAGGTGAGAAAGAAACAATATCCAATTCATTATGAGATAATTATAACCCTGAAGCTAAACCTAACAAGTGTACAATATGAATATATATATACACATTTATTCCAATGTCCGTCATGTACATAAATGCAAAAAAATTTCTCAGCAATGTGTCAGCAACTTGAATTTACCTAATTGTTAATATTTTCCCATGGTTGCATGCAGCTTGCTAGAAAAACATAAAGCATTTTGCCTTTTCAATTATAGTCATACTGGTGCTCTTTTGTTCCAGTCTGCAGAACTCCAGTTTATCAAATCACTTTGGATATCTTTGTATTTTATTGTTGCTGCTGCTATCCCCTATTCAAAATGGAGAAGAGAATAAATTCAGATTCCAGCTGTGACCACTGTTACTGCTGCAATAACCTCTGGATCTTGAAAGTTGGAAACAACCAACAGTCATCTAAGGTAAGTCAAATGTTTCAGAAGCAAACTTAATGGTGCACTCAAAATACAAGTAGTATTCAATATTCTAAAAAACCATGATGAACAACATATCAAAAGTTTAAATAGGGGCCTCCCCTGGTGGCGCAGCGGTTGAGTGCTGGGCTGTGAAGCTGCCCACAGCCTCTGCAGCGAGCCGGTTCAATCCCCGGCCACCAGCGAGGGTCCCACATGGTGCACGGACCTCTCCTGCTGTGCCCGCTGCTCCCCTCAGCAGTGTATTTCGTCAGTCTGCCTATTCTGTTCCCTGCTCTGGCTCTGGTGAATTCTCTTACCCTCCCACGCTTCTGACTGTAGCCAGTGCTTGTATAAATAAATAAATAAATAAATAAATAAATAAATAAATAAATAAATCTTTTAAAAAAAAGTTTAAATAGGGCCTCCCTGGTGGCACAAGGAGTTAAGTACTGCACTATAAAGTTATCTGCAGCCTCTGCAGCACTAGTTCGATCTCCGGCTTGCCAGGGAGCTACCCACATGACCCAGCAGACCTCTCCTGTCTTTGCCTGCTGCTCCCTCAGCAGTGTATTTCAATCAGTCTGCCTGTTCTGTTCACCACTCTGTCTCTGGTGACTCCTTTCACCCCCCACACCTCTGGCCTATACCCCAGATCTTGTATGCATAAATAAATAAATCTTTATAAAAAGTTTAAATAAACCAGGATCAAACACTGATTCCAACTGTAACATCCTGATGTCAAATTTATTGTTTACTGATTTCATTGGGGGAAAAAAAAGTAGAGCATATTTACTTTATAGTTCCCTCTTCCTGGGCTCATCCTTCAAGGTGAAGAGGGCAGCCAAACTTCCAATATTGTTAAATTTACAAAGAGAATACTCCTTTCATTTTCAAATATGATCTTTTCTGGCATATCTTACTGATGCCAACCAAGCTTATTAACTAGATTTATGCATTAATGAAAAATATATTTTCAGTGTGGAAAACATGGAAATGTAATGTTACTCTGGTACATATCTGCATGCAGTGTACCCCAGCATATACTAAAGCATGCACGCACACACATACATACAAATGCACACATATACAAATGTACACAAATATACAAACAGTACAGCTGTAGAGTACTAAAATTGTTTGAGACATTACCTTTCATGTGTCATGATAGGTTTTAATTGATTTTCCATGACTATGATAATAAATTGGTAATAATGCACTTTAAAATTTTTATTTTATATATTTTTACATCATTTTTCATTTTTGTAAAATGTAAGCATTTTCATCTTGGTTTTAGTCCCCATAAAATTCCCACCACCCTTGTTTTGATCCTACTCCCTTATCCCCACCCCCGTAGTGTGTCTCTGATTAATAGTTGCCTGTTGATTTTGATTTTTACTTTATTATAATTAGTCTTTTTCCTGATCCTTTATTTAGGTTTTCTAAATTCCTGCTATGAGTGAGAGCATCCGGTATTTTTCTTTTTCTTTCTGACTTATTTCACTGAGAATGATCCCCTCCAGCTTCACCCATGTTGCTGCAAGCGGCATGAGTTTATCTATTTTGATTGCTGAATAATATTCCATTGTGTATATGTACCACATCTTCTGCTGCACCATGTGGGTAACTCCCTGGCCAGGAATCAAACTCGTGCTGCAGTGGCTGCGGATAGCTTCATAGGTTGCGTCTTAACCCCTTGCGCCACCAGGGAAGCCCTGTACCACATCTTCTTGATCCAGTCATCTATTTTTGGGCATTTGGGTTGTTTCCATTGCTTACCTATTGTAAATTAGTGCTGCAATAAACGTAAGTGTGCAGGTGCCCATTTGAATTAATGTTTTTGTGTCTTTTGGGTAAATACCTAGGAGTGGAATTGCTGGATCACATGGAAGCTCCATTTTAGCAGATTGAGGAACCTCCACATAGCTCTCCATAGTGGTTGGACCAGTTTGCACTCCCACCAGCAGTGCAGGAGAGTTCCTTTTTCTCCACATCCTCACCAACATTTGTTGTTGCTAGTTTTTTTTTAATATGTGCCATTTTCACTGGTGTAAGATGGTATCTCATTGTAGTTTTGATTTGCACTTCCCTGATTACAAGTGATGTTGAACATTAATAATGTACTTTTAAAAAAAGATTTATTTATTTATGCATACAAGAATAGGGGTACAGACCAGAGGCGTGGGGGGTGAGAGGATTCACAAGAGACCGAGTGGGGAACAGAACAGGCAGATTGACTGAAATACACTGCTGAGAGGAGCAGAGGGCAAGCCAGGAGAGGCCTACTGTGCCATGTGGGAAGCTCCCTGGCCCGGGATTGAACTCATGCTGCAGTGGCCACGGATAGCTTCATGGATTGCGTCTTAACCCCTTGCACCACCAGTGAGGACCCTAATAATGCACTTTTAAAGAAAAGACATAAATATCAATCCTTTGGAGATGCCTTTAAATTCAGTGCTTTCCCACTAAAGTACTGATAAAGTAATATAGGAAACAAATAGTAGATACTGGCACATGGATCTCTGGGCCTGTTGCAAATCACGCATCTCCATGTACTGAAAGGGCATAAGGAATTTCTGATCCTTCCCCCAGGCATATTCTAGCAAAACATGTAGATTGCTGACTTGTTTATGAAGATTTTCAGGACTCATAACTAGTCCGTTTATTTTACTAAGTAAGAATTTTGATCCTACTATGACCCTGCCTGATAGGGAAACCAGTGTTCCAGATTGCTGCATAAACATCCTAGTCGTCTTGTCAGGACACCAATAGGGCAGGTTTAAAAGCATAGGCACTTATCAGCTCACCTTCTCATTCTGTTCTCTAAAACTCAACTTTTGAGTTGCTGTTAGCTAGAAAATTTCCTTTGAAAACTCAATTATCTGTGTATGTTTGTATTAGCAAGTTGAGGAGTGACTGAATAAAGATATAAAGTCAGCCTCAGTTGCTCAGAGGACTCTCTTGATAACCTTTAAGGGAAATCAAAATGATTCTTCCTACAAGCACATCCTGCATCCTGTGACCTACTTAGACAACTGTAAATTAACCTTACTTGTGAGGTGGAAAGATATATCAGTTTGGAATGCATTGTCTTTAATGAACAGAAAACCCAATTACAGTTGCTTAATCACATAAGGGTTTATTTATATCATGCAACATAAAGCCTGGAAGATAATAATGTGGAATTGTTGCATCAATTTAACATCCTTATAAGAAATCTAAGGACTTTTCATTTTACCACACTTAGTATATAGACCTTTGTTTGATGGTATTCATCTCATGGTTACAATTTTGCTGCTTCAATTCAATACCCATGTTAGAAAAAGGAAAATAGACTAAAGATATTCACTGGTTTCAGAAATTAGAACATGGATACTTTGTGGACACGTTATTCTCCCTACCACAGCCCACCCTCCACCTTCAGGTCTCCAGTGATTCACATCCACCCTACATAAAAATACATATATCCCAAGTCCCCAGAGATCTCACTTCATTACAGTATCAACTAAGTTCATAATTTCATCTAAATCTCATCAACTCAGAAATTCCAACTTTCATCATCAAATTTTCTAAATTAGGTATGGGTGAGATGTGGCTATTAATCCTCACATAATTCCTCTGCATCTGTGGATCAGTGACACTGAAGAAACTACTTTCCATACTGTACAATGATGGTCAGGGTAATAGTTACAGACAATCCAGTTCAAAAAGAGAAAATGGAAAGTGAAATGGTGTTACTTGCTCCAGAAATATAGAAATACTGCCAGGAAAACTATTTGCTTTCAAGGCCTGGGTTTGAAGCTTCCTCCTCAGTGTTACAAGTTTTGTCCTCTAAGTCATCCTCCATTTTTAATGAGAAGTTGTATGTGTTTTCAGCTAAGTAGTTCTGTTTTCTTTTTAATCCTGTGTTAGTTTTTAGTAAAAAAAAAAGTTACCAAAAAAAAAAAAAGTTACCATCCAAGTCTATCATATGATACTATGGGGTGAGTCATATCTCCTTTCTCATGGCTAAGAATTGGTCAGGACCATTTGTTTTTTCCTATTTCTTTTCCATTCCCTGCTTTTAAGTCTCACAGCAATCCTTTAAGTATGTCTTCACTAGCAGAGTTGCTAACAACTTAGCAAAAGAGATGAGTAACTTTGTGAGGATATTATGGTTGTTCTAACAAAATTTTCTTTCTTCATATTTTTTTCCCACTCATGGCCTAAATCCAAAGGTTGTAGACATTGCATTTGGAGGACCACAGTCTCATAAATTAAATTGTTTCAAAATAGGCCAGGAGATATTTGGACCTAAGTAGTTTTTAATCAGTCTGTTTCTTACTTATAGGATTTGGGGTACAATAGCATTCTCTTATTTAATTCTCTGTTCCTTTCAGTTCAAGCTAATATTTCTGCTGGTATGGCATTTCACAGAACCTTCTGAGCTCCTTGTGTGAGTCCCATTGCAATACATAACATTACAGGTTCCAGGGATTAGAATGTGGACATTTTTAGGGGACAGAATTCTGCCCACCACACCATTCTATAGCATCTGCAAAATTAAAAAACCCCTGGTGGTAGAGGATTCTGACAACAGACCTGATTATTTCTTCAAATCATACAACCGTCTCACTACCATACCCTTTAAAGAATAAGTCTTCCTTGGTTAACTATAACTCCAACTATTTATTGTCTTTCAAAGTCAACTAGAACAAGGTCATACAAAGGCAAGTAGATTTGTGGCATGCTGTGCCATCAAAAACTCTGCTAGGCCCATAAATTGGAGCTCACTTGAGAATTTTTCACCAATAGCACAGGGTAATTGCAAGTAATGTATTACTTGGTCCTAGAGTCTACTGACCTTGAGTATATAGGCACACTGTAAAAACTGTCAATCTCAGTATTAGTAGTCTGTTCAGGACTCCAAGCAGAATCCTAACTTCAGTTAGATATAAGGAAGACTCATAAGTCTTTCAGTATTTTTAAACTAGAAGAGTAGATGATAAATATTAGAGTGAGTCTAATGATTAACGGTGTGACTTTAAAATAAATATCATGAAATGATACACATTGCTGCCTAGTGGTGAGATGAACTTTCAAAGTTTGGAAGAAACTGAACATGATAAGTAATAATTATTCCATCCTAGACAGAAAAGCGTTGTAGAAAAGTCATAGCTGTGTAAATAATAAAAACTGAAAGTCTTTTAATTTCAAAATAAAGTGTGATAAGAAATCAGGCATCTTTTGTCATATGTGACAAATTTTAAATTTAGAGGGGGCCTCCCCTGGTGGTGCAAAGGTTGAGCGCTGGGCTGCAGGGCTGCCCACAGCCTCTGCAGCGCCAGTTCGTTCCCAGGAAGCCGGCGAGGGTCCCACACACACAAAAAAAAATTTAATTTAGAATTTTAAATTTTAAAATTAGAGTGATGTATTTTGAGAAGTTAACTTACATATTGTCCTTTAGAAATGAGTACTAAAAATTTAATCACAATTATGACATTTCCTGATAGAAATTTTTACTAACAATACCTTATTTAGTAAAATAATTACAAGGCAACCAGAATATAAAACAAAGAGTAAGATTATTAAAGAAAATAGTAGAGTTAAAAGAAAAGCAATTAGAATTAAAGATTACTATAGGGTTGAAAGAAGAAACGTAAAGGTGAAGGAAACAAATAATGTAGGCAGTGGGAAAGTTCCAGATAGCTAAACTATTCTGGAAGATTGGATTTTACAGATTTTCTCCCAAAGTCTTGACCTACATATTAGGGAAGACAGGCTTCAAGAACTTGAACTCGTTGGTCCCTGAGCCCCCCGTCAGGCACACCTCATACTGGTAGCTGTGGGACAGCGTCCCGGCGCCGCCCACGTCCACCAGGCGGCCCGGGAAGGGGCCGTCGGGCCCCAGCGAGCCCGCGCGCGCGCCGGCCCCGCGCCTCCCGCACAGGCGCGCGGCCGCGAAGGCGAGCGCGCACAGGAGGAAGAGCGACGACACGGCGGCCAGCGCCACCACCAGGGACGCGGTGAGGCGGTCGGCCTGCGCGGCGGGCGGCGGCGCGTCGGGCGGCGGCAGGTAGGGCTGCGAGAAGCCGTCGACCAGCAGCACGTGCAGCGTGACGCTGGCCGACAGCGGCGGCTCGCCGTTGTCCTTGACCAGCACGACCAGCCGGTGCTTGGGCGCGTCGCGCTCGCCCAGCGGCCTGGCGGTGCGCACCTCGCCGTTGTGCGCCCACACGCCGAACAGCCCGGGCTCCGTGGCCCTGAGCAGCTGGAACGACAGCCAGGCGTTCTGGCCCGCGTCGCCGTCCACCGCCACCACCTTGGTGACCAGGTAGCCCGCGTCGGCCGCGCGCGGCACCAGCTCGGGGCAGGGCGCCGAGGCGTTGGGCGGCGGGTAGAGCACGGAGGGCGCGTTGTCGTTGGCGTCCTGCACCACGACGCGCACCCGCGCCTGGCCGCTGAGCGCGGGCGAGCCGCGGTCCGTGGCGCCCACCAGGAAGTCGAAGGCGCGCAGCGCCTCGTAGTCGAGCGAGCGCAGCGCGAACAGCTGGCCGGTGTCGGCGTTGACGGCCACGAGCGCGGCGGGCGGCGGGTGCGCGCGGCCGGCGGGCAGCAGCGAGTAGGTGAGCTGCGCGTTGGAGCCCGCGTCGGCGTCGGTGGCGCGCACGCTGCCGATGTGCAGCGCGGGGCTGTTGTTCTCGCGCACCAGCAGCGTGTAGGCGCTCTGGCTGAAGGCGGGGGCGTTGTCGTTCACGTCGGACACCAGCACGGTGATGTGGTGCTGGGTCCTCAGCCTGGGGGTGCCCAAGTCCGTGACGGTGATCGTGATGTTGTACTCGGCCTGCCTTTCTCTGTCCAGCGCCGCATTTGTTACTAGGGTATAGAAATTCTCTTGAGATGGTTTCAGGAAGAAGGGGAGATCATCCTGTATGAAGCAAATCATCCTCCCGTTGTCCCCTGAGTCTCGGTCCCGAATCCTAAACAAAGCCACTTCGGTCTCAGGGGAATTTTCAGGAATAGGACTGGTAAGTGATGAAACAGTTATTTCTGGGAAGTTGTCATTAATATCTGTTACCTCAATGGAGACAGAGCATTTTCCAGAAAGCCCCCCACCATCAGTTGCCTCTATATCCAGCTCATAGGAGGATTTTGTCTCAAAATCTAGTTGTTTAATAAGTCGAACTTCTCCTGAAAGACTGTTCAGCTCAAAAGTTGTGCTTAACTCCTGTGAACTATAAAAAAGGGAGTATGCTATCTCTCCATTTGTCCCAGTGTCTAAATCATTAGCAGACACCTTGACAACCAGCGCCCCCACAGGGCTGTTCTCTGGGACTCGCACCTGGTAGAGCCCCTGTGCACACTCAGGGGCATTGTCATTGACATCCAAAACTGAGATGTGGACCTGGGCGGTGCCAGATCTAGGTGGAGAGCCGCCATCCAGCGCTGTGAGGGTTAATTTGAATTCTGCCTGTTCCTCTCTATCCAGCTCTTTGTCCAGGACCAGCTCTGGGTATTTCCTACCATCCCCCCGATTGCGGGTGAAAACATGGAAATGAGAGTTGGGGCTGATATTGTAGTTTTGGATGTTGTTGTTGCCCACGTCTAGGTCTTGGGCTTTTTTCAAAGAAAACACAGTGCCAGGAGCGCTGTTCTCTGGAATTTTCACCGCCATATCTCTTTCAGGAAACTCAGGAGAATGATCGTTTATATCTCTTACTAGTAGCTCAGCTTGAAATACTCCCATTGGTTTTTTCAGTAACACTTGGAAATGCATTATGCAAGGATCGGTGGGGCGCACATTTTCTCCCGGTCCAGTTTCTCATTTAATATCAACTCCCCAGTCTGCAGATCAAGCTGCAAGGCGAGCTGGTTATCCTCAGAGACCACCCGGGCGCCCCGTGCAGCTAGCTCCTCCACTCCCAGCCTCAGGTCCTTGGCCAGGTTGGCCACTAAGGAGCTGCTCTCTGTTTCCTCCATCACGGAATAGCGGCGGGATTCCCAACCTGCCAGAGCCTCTCCCAGCAAGAAACAAAGAATAAAGACTTGCCTTTGTTTAGGAAAGCTCTCCCCTTTGGTATCCATCTTTACTTTCTGCAAGCAACTTTCCAGAAACAGTGGCTAGTTCTGTCTTAGTGCGCCAGGGGACTGAGACAGTGAAGGATCTCTCAGTCGGTAACCTCTCCGGAAATGTCGATGGGCAGCATTTGCTAGAGACTTACTGGTCTTGAGCTCAGCTCACAGACTTTCCTCGGGCTAGAGATCTGAGATAGAGCTCCTCAGAGCTGACTTTTTTGGTTTTTGACGCCTTAGCCTGCAGCGCCACCATGCGATATTTTAGAGAATCACAGCAAATGTATTCTCTATAAAGACGCCAGTTATTCGGAGTTTGGAATTGGTTTGGGGAGAGATGATGTATTCAGAAAACCATGCAACTACAATTTCTCATTCCTTCATTCAAAGAAATATTAATATCTGTTACTTAGTTCTGCAATACATCAGTTAACAACTCAGACATAATCCCTACCATCTAAAGCTTGTGTCTGGGTGGGTGCTGTGAAAATTGAGAAGTGAAAGAAGAATTAATAATGATCAGTAATGTAATCTTATAAAAATAATACATAACACATAAATAACACAATTGTGTTATTTCTTAAATGTTTCTCAGCAAAAACGAATGAATTCTTCTAGATTGCCTTTCAAATTCTAGGCAGTCTATATTCCAGAATTGTGGTTCCAATTATTGGAATTATATCAAAGAAAAAGTTAACCATTAATTTCAGTGTAGGATACCATTTCTATGTAAGATTAGAGTTAGGTTTTATGAAATGGGAAAGTGCATATGAGGGCACTACCTATGTCTTTTACCCTGCTTATTCTCCTTAGCACTGATCACAACCTGCTATCGCTTAAGGTGCATATTTAATAGTTTCTTGTCTGTGTCATCCTGGAGTTCCAGAACTATATTTTGTTTTACATCCCTCTAGAACTTCTAGTCCCTCACACACATCAGATGCTGAGCAAATGTTTGTTGGCTAGATCAATTTATAAATCACAATCTTAAAATTATGATAGATTTTCCTCTTAATATAGGAGCTCCCATTTTTGTTGGTATCCTAGTTCATTATATGAGCTGGATAAACAAGATAGCATTTTCCCATATAGCTATAGCCTATGCTCTTTTAAAATAGTATTTTAATAATTCAGAATGAACTAAAATGTTTCTTCATTAACTACAGAGTTTTAAAAAGAAAGCACATGACAAGACTATAATGATCCTACAAATAAGAACACATTCTACATTGCCAGTGTTATTTCACATTAAAGCTATTGTGATAGTAATAAACATTTCCAAAACTCTTGTAGAGTTTTCTAACAATTTCTCTTAAATACTCTCAAGACTATATATTTGGGAATATCTATAAATTTTTCTGAAAATTATATATTCTAACAAAAGCTTGTGCTTGTCACTATATGGTACTAATAGTTCACAGACTTTTTATTCCAGATATTATTAATACAAGCCATAATTTTAAAAACCTCAAATTGATAGTAAGGGCTATCCATGCAAGAATATCTATACATGTTTTTGACAACAAGGGGGAAAATCCATTTGTTTATCTTAACCTGAGGAAATTTATTTAGAGAGTACATTTTGTTTCCAAAAACCCAAGGGAGAATGCAGATTTGGGAGCAACTGGAAAATCTACAACAAGGCTGCTCTTTAAGGCATCTCAGTACTTCTTGTCTCTAAGTGGATTTACTTTCTGTGCTTCTTTCCATGTATTTAGTTAACACGATATCACTTTCTGGTTAGTTTCTTATAGAGGTACTATTTTATATCTGGTTTATAAAGTATATTTTAAGACAGATCAGTATATCTAACACTTTGCCTGACTGAAATCACAGAGGGAGAAAGGTTATATTGGGTTGACATATTTTTTCCTATATTTCTCAAGGAAAAATGCATCATGACTCTTCTGACAACCTAATATATATATTATACACACCATTATGTACACCATTTTATTATACACACCATTGTACACACCATATATACATTATATATAATGTATATATTATACATTTAAAATGTATTTTATTTTATTTTATTTTTTTAAAGAATGTGATTTTATTTTATTTTTTTAAAAGAGGTATGTATTTTTATTTATTTGTTTGTTTGTTTGTTTATGTATACATGCACTGGGTAGTCAGAAGTGCGGGAGGGTGAGAGAATTCACCAGAGCCAGAGCGGGGAGCAGAGCAGGCAGAAGAACTGAAGTACACTGCTGAGGGGAGCAGCGGGCGGCAGGGGAGGTCTGCGCGCCATGTGGGACCCTCCTCCGGTGGCCGGAGAGCAGCCAGGGATGCCATGAAGGCATCAAACTAGAATAAACCATAAAAAGAAGGCAAGGAATTTCCTCTACCTCATGGAGATTAAAAACCACACTACTGGAAGACCATTGGACTAATGAGAGATCAAAGAAGAAATTAAAAAATTTTTTGAATTGAACGACAAGGAGGACACTAATATCCTAAATGTATGGGATGCAGCAAAAGCAGTAATAAGAGGAAAATATATAGCAATAGAAGCTCACATCAAGAAACAAGAAAGAACGCAAAGAAACAACCTCATCTCGAAGCTCAAAGATCTAGAAAAAGAACAACAAAAAACCCCAAAACCAGTAAGAAGAAAGAAATAATAAAAACCAAAGCAGAAATAAATGAAATTGAAACTAAAAAAACAATCCAAAAGATCAATGAAACCAAGAGCTGGTTTTTTGAAAAAAGCAATTAATAGACAAACCCCTAGCCAGGCTCACAAAGGAAAAAGGGAGAAAGCACAAAATAAACAGGATCATCAATGAAAGAGGAGAAATCACAAGGACACAGCAGAAATCAAAAGAATAATCAGTAACTACTATGAACAGTTATATGGAAACAAGTTTAACAATCTAGAGGAGATGGACAAATTCCTACAACTCTACAATCACCCAAAGCTAGATAAAGAAGAAATAGAACACCTAAACAGACCAATTACAATTAGCGAAATTGAAATGGTTAATAAAAACCCTCCCCAAAACAAAAGCCCAGGACCTGATGGATTTACAAATGAATTCTACCAAACATTCAGAGACGAATTAGTGCCTATCCTTCACAAACTCTTCCAAAAAATTGAGAAGGAAGGGACAATACCAAACACGTTTTATGAAGCCAACATTACACTAATACCAAAACCGAACAAGGACAACACAAAAAAGGAAAACTACAGGCCAATCTCCCTAATGAACACTGATGCAAAAATCCTCAATAAAATTTTAGCTATCAGAATCCAACAATGTATCCATAAGATAATTCACCACGACCAAGTTGGATTCATTCCAGGGCACAAGGATGGTTTAACATCCGAAAATCAATCAACGTTATCCAACACATCAACAAAAAGAAATATAAAAACCATATGATAATATCAATAGATGCTGAGAAAGCTTTCGACAAAGTGCAACACCCATTCATGATAAAAGCCCTTGAAATTCTTGGATACAAGGAACATACCTCAACATCATAAAGGCCATCTATGACAACCAACAGCCAGTATCATTCTCAATGGTGAAAAGCTGAAAGCAATTCCATTAAGATCTGGAACAAGACAAGGATGTCCACTCTCACCATTGCTTTTCAATATAATACTGGAAGTCCTAGCCAGGGCAATAAGACAAGAGAAAGACATCCAAGGAATCCAAATAGGAAAAGAAGGAGTCAAACTATCACTATTTGCAGACGATATGATATTATACATAGAGAACCCCAAAAACTCCACAGAAAAGCTAATTCAACTCATCAATCAGTTCAGTAAAGTGGCAGGATACAAAATCAACACGCAAAAGTCAGTAGCCTTCCTATACACAAACAATAAACTGAAGAAGAAAAATCAAAAAGACCATCCCTTTTGTTATTGAAACAAAAAAAATCAAATATTTGGGAATAAATCTAACAAAAGAGGTAAAGGACCTATACAAAGAAAACTATAAAACACTGTTAAAAGAAATAGAAGAAGACACAAAGAAATGGAGAGACATCCCCTGCTCATGGATTGGAAGAATAACATTATTAAAATGGCCATCCTACCAAAAGCAATATACAGATTCAATGCTATTCCAATCAAAATTTCAATGTCATTCTTCAAAGAAATAGAACAATTATTGATGAAATTCATATGGAATCACCAAAAACCCCGAATAGCCAAAGCTCTCCTGAAAAAAAAGAAGGGAATGGAGGCATCAGACTCCCAGACTTCAAACTATACTACAAAGCCATAATCATCAAAACTGCATGGTATTGGAACAAGAACAGACATACAGACCAATGGAATCGAATAGAAAATCCAGAAATAAACCCACAGATTTATGGTCAACTAATCTTTGACAAAGGAGCAAAGAATATGCATTGGAGCAAAGAAAGTTTGTTCAATAAATGGTGCTGGGAAACTGGGTCGCTACATGCAAAAGAATGAAGCTTGACCACCACCTCACACCATACACAAAAATCAACTCAAAATGGATTAAAGAACTAGACATAAGACCTGAAACCATAAAATATATAGAAGGAAATATAGGCGAAACACTACGTGATTTGCACATCAAAGACATCTTTACAGACACATCACCCAAAGCAGTGATAGTGAAGGCAAAGATAAACAGCTGGGACTACATCAAATTAAAGAGCTTTTGCACAGCAAAAGAGACAATAACAAAAACAAAGAGAAACCCCACCAACTGGGAGAACATTTTTGCACCCAACACTAATGATAAAGGACTGATCACAAAAATCTGCAAAGAGCTGATGAGACTCAACAACAACAAAGAAAATAATCCAGTCAAAAAATGGGCAGAAGAGCTAAAAAGAAACTTCTCTGAAGAGGAAATGCAAATGGCCAACAGGTATATGAAAAAATGTTCAACATCACTTGTCATCAGGGAAATGCAAATCAAAACTACCATGAGATACCATCTTACACCAGTGAGAATGGCACATATTAAAAAAACTAGCAACAACAAATGTTGGCGAGGGTGTGGAGAAAAAGGAACTCTTCTGCACTGTTGGTGGGAGTGCAAACTGGTCCAACCACTGTGAAAGCTGTATGGAGATTTCTGGACCTACTAAACATAGAGCTTCCATATGATCCAGCAATTCCACTCCTAGGTATTTACCCAAAGGACACAGAAACATCAATTCCAAAGAACACCTGCACCCCTATGTTTATAGCAGCACTGTTTACAATAGCTAAGCTTTGGAAACAACCCAAATGCCCAAAAATAGATGACTGGATCAAGAAGATGTGGTACATATATACCATGGAATATTACTCAGCATTCAAAAAAGATAAACACATGCAATTTGCAGCAACATGGATGGCGCTGGAAGGGATCATGCTCAGCGAAATAAGCCAAAAAGAAAAAGAAAAATACCGGATGGTCTCACTCATAGCAGGAATCTAGAAAACTTAAATAAGGGACCAGGAAAATGAATAACTATAAGAAAGTGAAAATCAAAATCAACAAAAAACTATGAACCAGAGACACTTTTAGGGGGGCGGGGTGGGAGGGGAGGGATTGGGGTCAGAATGGGGGATTGCAATTGTATGGGGAATATAACAATAAAATTTATTAAAAAAAAAAAAAGAAAAAAAAAGTAATCTGATAACAGATAATGAAAAACCCATTTAGTTTTATGTAAAGTTATATTTTTTTGTAAAGTGACCACAACAGAATCATATAAGTATACTTTTGACTTATATCCTCCTTAAGATAGATGTATTTTCATTAGTATGAGAGAAATGACTTTAATAGACTTATGTGTAATGTTAAAAACTTGCTAAAATTTAAGGCATTTCTCTAACCATGCTGGAATTACTGTCTTTTGTCTCCAAAAACTTATTTGATCCTTGAAAACAAACTCCTGTGTCACTCAAATGTTGGTCATTGAGTGAAAAGTAACAATGTTATGCAACAGGGTGGTCCCCAGGAAAGGGGGAGGTTCCCTGCCCCACCAAGGGAGGGTGGAGCTGAGCAGGAAGAGGAGAAGCTGCAGAAGAGACTGAGGAAGGAAGCAGGATGGAGCCAGGAGACCTGGAGGAGGCGCGTGGATCCTAGAGACACGTGAAGAAACTACGCTTGTCTTTTGGTCATGGACTAGGTGACACAGATGTGGGTGAGACCCGTGGGGAGGTGACAATGGCAGCTTTTATTTTGATGTTGATTTTGTTTTTTTTCTTCCGGGCTTGTCTGGTTATTTTTGACCCTTTGCTGTGGGTCCCCACTGGAAGATGTTTTAGACTTGTGGCAGGCTTTGGGGTTTGCTCTGGGCCAATCCCATTTGGATGGACTTTTACCCACGAGGGGACGGGTAACTTTGGGTGCTTCATTTAGAAACTAGACTTTTTGCCTTACCTGTATTGTTTCCTAGTTGTATTAAAGTTCCTTCCCATTAAAAAAAAAATGCAATTACATTGCTTAAATAGAATTATCACTATATAGTCCAGAAGGAAGCATTCAGGCTTCCCTTCCTCTGAGCCCCACTAAAACTTATAATTGCTCTGTAAATATTATTGCCTCCTGTTTGATGCCAGTCTGTCCCTTCTACAACATGTGAGCTACTTTAGTATGCCTTCATCATCTGTGGCTGGCAAGTCAGACACCAAATTCTAGCTGTATTAAAGCATGCATATATAAACTCTAGTGAGTAGACTATGAAACAATTTTCAGTACTTTTATCCTTGCCATTTGAGAATTGTGGTTATTACTTATTCTTTGCAATTTCTGTTCACTTTCTTTCATTTGTATTTCCCCCTTACATTAGCTTTAAAATTAATGGCAGAATTAAAGAAGGGCTTGACCTCCATTTTAAGTTCCCTCTTACTTATGGTAGAGTCTGTTTTCTCTATACCAAATAAAGGAAGGTAGAGAACAGACCACACTATATGCCTATCCTAACACTGCTGAAGGTCAGAACAAAATTATAGCATCTGCCTCATACAGAATGTTTTTCAATGGCCTAATATCTAGAAACAAGCCCTATTTTTCTCATAATAAACAAGGGAAACATTAAATTGAAGATTATTGTTCAGAGAAAAGGCTAGCCCTAGCCAAAGTATATTTATTGTTAAATATAAAAGCATATCATATAAATATTTGCTTAATGACTACTACTGTTTATTCAATTGAATGGGACTATATTGTTTGTCATTAAAATCCTCTGGTTTTTAAAATACAGATTAAATAGTAAAAGAAAAAGCACTCAATATATTGTTAACTATTTCTGTTTGATGCCATAAGATGCTTAAATTTTTCTCTTTTTTGGTTTTCAAACTTCATTTACACACTCAGTATTTTACAGTACTTCTTATTTTAAGATAAGATTGATCAGATAGCTATCATATCACATAACAAATATAAATCACCATAACAAAAAAAGGAAATAGCACGTTTTAAAGAAATAATTTATGGATATCTCTAGGGCCTCCATGGTGGCCAAGGGATTAAGTCTCAGTGCAATCACTCCTACAGCCTGAGTTTGATCCCCACCAGGGAGCTAACTCACTTAAGAAATAGCAGACCTCTCTGTCTTGCCTGGTGCTCCCCTGAGCAGTGTATTTAAGTAGATCCCCCTGGTCTGCTCGCCACTGTCTCTGATAAATACTCTAACCTCCCCACACACCTCTGGCCAACACCCCAGTTCTTCTATGTAAATTTTTTAATTATAAAAAGAATCATGCTATAATAAAAATCAAGAATGACAGGTTTTGAAAAGAAAACAGAAATCAAGTAGTGACTATATGCATAAATCTCTCACATGCAGAGGATTATTTTAATCATTTTCTAAGGGAAAAAGCTAAAATGAAAAATGTGAGCAATGAATATAAAAAGACAAAGTGGAAAACATTTTAATGAAATGCTTCATTGGGCTAATATATCAGGAAAAGGAAACTTGTGAAGTTAATCTTAAAAATAGATCTTGGGGGGGCTCCCCTGGTGGTGCAGCGGTTGAGTGCTGGGCTGCGAGACGGCAGCGCCCCTTTCATTCCCCGGCTGCCAGTGAGGGTCTCCCCCCACAACCCCCCAGAACATAATAGATCTTGGGGGGCTCCTTGGTGGCGCAGAAGTTAAAGTCTCAGTGCATCAAGCTGTTGCCACCCACTGCAGCACGAGTTCATCCCCAGCCAGAGAACTAAACCCATTTGGCCCAGCAGACATCTCCTGTCTCACCCACTGCTCCCCTCAACAGTGTATTTCAGTGGATCCCCCTGTTTTGCTCCTCATCAGTTTCAGATGAATCCTCTCACTGTCTGCATCTCTGGCCTACACCCCTGTTCCTGTATGCATAAATAAAAAAAATCTTTTAGAAAATAGATATTGGGAATGAACAAAAGGAGAAAATTAAAAGCAGCTTATTGATGGTTGTGTTAACAATGTAGTTAACCAACAAGAAAATATTAAAGGGTGTCTATTAGATTCTTATTGGTAATTAAATCCAAACTAACCTGATTGGCAGCAGGTTTTCTTTCACTCCACTTGTTGTGCTCTACTATTGCAGATTAGGGATAACCGGTTTTAAGAACTTGAACTCGTTGGTCCCTGAGCCCCCCGTCAGGCACACCTCATACTGGTAGCTGTGGGACAGCGTCCCGGCGCCGCCCACGTCCACCAGGCGGCCCGGAAGGGGCCGTCGGGCCCAGCGAGCCCGCGCGCGCGCCGGCCCGCGCCTCCCGCACAGGCGCGCGGCCGCGAAGGCGAGCGCGCACAGGAGGAAGAGCGACGACACGGCGGCCAGCGCCACCACCAGGGACGCGGTGAGGCGGTCGGCCTGCGCGGCGGGCGGCGGCGCGTCGGGCGGCGGCAGGTAGGGCTGCGAGAAGCCGTCGACCAGCAGCACGTGCAGCGTGACGCTGGCCGACAGCGGCGGCTCGCCGTTGTCCTTGACCAGCACGACCAGCCGGTGCTTGGGCGCGTCGCGCTCGCCCAGCGGCCTGGCGGTGCACCTCGCCGTTGTGCGCCCACACGCCGAACAGCCCGGCTCCGTGGCCCTGAGCAGCTGGAACGACAGCCAGGCGTTCTGGCCCGCGTCGCCGTCCACCGCCACCACCTTGGTGACCAGGTAGCCCGCGTCGGCCGCGCGCGCACCAGCTCGGGGCAGGGCGCCGAGGCGTTGGGCGGCGGGTAGAGCACGGAGGGCGCGTTGTCGTTGGCGTCCTGCACCACGACGCGCACCCGCGCCTGGCCGCTGAGCGCGGGCGAGCCGCGGTCCGTGGCGCCCACCAGGAAGTCGAAGGCGCGCAGCGCCTCGTAGTCGAGCGAGCGCAGCGCGAACAGCTGGCCGGTGTCGGCGTTGACGGCCACGAGCGCGGCGGGCGGCGGTGCGCGCGGCCGGCGGGCAGCAGCGAGTAGGTGAGCTGCGCGTTGGAGCCCGCGTCGGCGTCGGTGGCGCGCACGCTGCCGATGTGCAGCGCGGGGCTGTTGTTCTCGCGCACCAGCAGCGTGTAGGCGCTCTGGCTGAAGGCGGGGGCGTTGTCGTTCACGTCGGACACCAGCACGGTGATGTGGTGCTGGGTCCTCAGCCTGGGGTCCCAAGTCCGTGACGGTGATCGTGATGTTGTACTCGGCCTGCCTTTCCTGTCCCAGGGCTCCTTCTGTCACCAGCGTGTAGAAGTTCTTGACTGAAGGCTTTAGAAGAAAGGGAAGGTCATCCTGGATGGACGAAATAGTTTTCCCATTGTCTCCGGAATCCGGATCTGATACACTGAAAACAGCAACTACAATCTCAGGCGAGTTTTCTGGGATGGGGCTGGTGAATGCAGACATCGTCACTTCTGGGGGGTTATCATTCACATCCAGCACCTGCAGAAGAAGAGTGCATTTTCCTGAAAGACCTCCCCCATCAGTGGCCTTGATGTCCACTTCGTAAGACAGAGTTGTTTCAAAATCTACTTGTTTTTTCAGTCGAATTTCGCCTGTTATAGGATTTACCTCCAAAATCTTACTAATATCTTCTGAAGGCTGGAAGAGCGTGTATGTTATTTTCCCATTGACGCCACTGTCCAAATCCGTGGCGGAGACGGTGACAACCAGAGAGCCCAAGGGGCTGTTCTCGGGAATATGCACTGTGTAGAGCGGCTGTCCAAATTGAGGGGCGTTATCATTGCTGTCCACCACTTCAACGCGCACCTGCGCGGTCCCGTGCCGAGGTGGAGAGCCTCCATCCAGCGCGGTCAGGGTTAATGCGATTTCAGGCTCCTCCTCCCGATCTAGTTCTTTTTTTTTTTTTTTTTTTTTTTTTTTTTTTTAATTTAATTTCTAGAGGCATGTCCTTATTATATTAGTTTTGTTTGATACATGCACTGGTACAGTCAGAAGCGTGGGAGGGTGAGAGAATTCACCAGAGCCAGAGCGGGGAGCAGAGCAGGCAGAAGGAACGAAGTACACTGCTGAGGGGAGCAGCGGGCGGCAGGAGAGGTCTGCGCGCCATGTGGGACCTCCTCTGTGGCCGGGGAGCAGCGGGGATCGAACGGCTGCAGAGGCTGCAGGCAGCTTCGCAACCCAGCGCTCAACCGCTGCGCCACCGGGGAGGCCCCCGATCTAGTTCTTTATCCAACACCAGTTCAGGGTATTTTCTGCCATCGCTGCGATTGCGAGTTAAAACCCGAAAATGGGAGTTGGGGCTGATTTTATAGGTCTGAAAGTTGTTACTTCCTACATCCAAGTCCACCGCATTACTCAGAGGGAATAGAATTCCTAGAGGGCTGTTTTCTGGTATTTTTAGAGTCATATTTTTTTCAGTGAACACGGGAGAGTGGTCATTTATGTCTTTCACCCGCAGTTCAGCCTGAAATATCTCTAAAGGTTTTTCCATTAGCACTTGAAAATGTAGTAGGCAAGGTTCAGTGGGGCCGCATAGCTCCTCTCGATCTAGGTTCTCATTTATGAGCAAATCCCCAGTCTGAACCTGAAACTGCAAATATTCTTTGTTCTCCTTGGAAATGATCCGTGCCCTGCGGGTGGACATCTCCGTTAACCCTAGCCCCAGATCTTTCTGCAGATTTGCCACAAAGGAGCCCCTCTCCATTTCTTCCACTACTGAATAAGGTCCCAGTTCGGCGCCCACCCCAGACATGCTGAGCAAAACAAAGAAAATTAGGACTTGCCTTTGTCTCAGATTGTGCTTCCATCCAATTTCCATTGCTCTTTTTTTGTAACTAGGTTCACGGGAACTTCTTCATATATTCCCAGGGCCTTAGTAGCTCTGTCCAGAAGGTCAGGACTGTGCCGCTAAATAGAGTTTTATTAAGAGGTTTCACACTCACTTTTGCTCTGGCTGAGAAAGCTATGGCTTAGCTTCCAGGCGGTCTGAAACTGGGTGGATACTGGGGCTGCATAAGCAATTCTGTTTTCCTTCACCTTAACCTGCAGCGCCACCACGTGTTCGAACTGCATCTTACATGTTCTGGTTTAACATTGGATGCAAAATTCTAAATGTATCATATTGATTGTGTAAACTGTGTTCTGTAATCTAAAAGGCTGAGTTCTGTTTTCATGTGGTTTCGTGCGATTAGGTACAGCTTGTGTTGTTTCACAGGAGGAGTACATAGAGAAAATTGTCATTTATGTTATTGACTGTTTAAAGTGGGTGAGTGTTATTGATTAAACATTTAATCTGAAAAGAAAGTACATTAAGGAGCAAAATTTTTCAAGTTCCAAGTTTCTGAAGTAACTTGGGAACAATTCCACAAGTACATATTTTTCAAGCTATGTACTATTGAGTTAGAAATGAGTGTATGCTGCAAAATTGCCATCAGTGGTGGTTCTGAAGAGAGCTCTGTTTAAAAGTATATTACTTCCTCTTCTTTCCAACACCTAAGCTTGAAGACTGAGTTTCCACTATTTTTAAATTATCAGAAGTGTTTTCCTGAATAGGTCGGTCTCAGGTTTTGGGCTCTTCCCCCCCCCCCCCCCGCTTAATCATGACACAATATGGTTTATTCTTTTATTTAAAAAAAAACGATTTTAATGAAATATAACCCACCCATTTGACGTGTAGAGTTATGTGGTTTTAAGGAAGAATGGTGCATCTCTTACCACTGTCAATTTTAGAACACTTTTATCACCTCAAAAGTCTTTACATCATTCCCTGTTCCTCCATCCCTTCTGCTTTGAGTCCTAATTAACCTCTAACTTACTTTCTATCTCTATATACTTCTCTATTCTGAGTGGAATAATTTATGTAGACTTTTGTGACTGGTTTCTTTCATTTAAGTTCATTCATGTTCTAGTAATTCATTCCACTTTGGGGTTCACTGTGAGACATATATTTTGAAGATCCCTTTGTTTGTTGATGGACTTTTGGGTTGTTTCCAATTTTTGCCTATTGTGAATAATGCTGCTGTAAACATTCATATATAGATATTTGTGTGGACTTATGTTTTCATTTTCTATGACTAGAATTGCTAGGTCATATGATATCTCTATGTTTAATTGAGGAACTGCTAGACTCTTCCAAAGTAAGTGTATTCTTTTACATTCACACCATGTAATATGTATCAGTATTTAAATTTTCCACATCCTCCCAACACTTGTTATCTGACCGTTTGATTTTAGCCACCCTATGGGTATGAAGTGGTATCTCATACATCATGAGTTTGATTTGCAATTCTCTGATGAATATGATGTTGAATATCTCTTCACATGCTTGTTGGTCATTTTCATATCATCCTTGGAGAAATGTCTGTTTACGTCTTTGCCCATTTAAAGACTGGGTTATTTGTCTTTTTATAATTGAGCTGTAAGTGTTCTTTATATATTCCAGATACAAGTCCTTCATCATATTTGTATTCATTTGTTAAGGTTTTCTATTTCTAAATTTTGAATTGCAGTGAGATTTCATGTTATCTTTTTCAATTCAGTGTTTTGATTAATGATGGTTAGAAGTTTGTTAATTACCTTGTCTCAAGTTAGAACATCTAATCAATGTTTGTAGGAAAACCAAAGTGACTCCATCTTGAATCCAGGCCATTTTAGGCCTGTGAATGAGAGATACCCTACTCTGGGAAGAGAGCCAAAATTCACACTGTTTTCTACATATTCAGTAACCTGTATCATGAACCATATACAAACCTATTAACCTTATTAGCACAAAGATACATATAATACATCCCCTGGGTGTCTGACATCAGTAGTTTTATGAAACTGCTACTCTCTAGTTAAATATTAAGTTTCAGAGAGGTATAAAAAGACCCCTGTCTAGGAGTGAGGTGTGAATCCTCCCTCCATCTAAAGTTCTGTCCAGTGGCTTCAGTGCCAAGGCCCACTGTATACAAGGTGACTAATAAACTTTTAAGTGTGATTAATGGGCATACCAGCTTCATTCTTTGAATACAAGTTACCTTCTCAATTTGGGGGAACTTATTCATTCCCATAATGGCACAAGTGAGGCTTAAACTCATGCTATACCAAATATTTATGTGACTTCTGTTGGCCACACTTGGTATTACTAAACTGTATTATTTTCCTCCAGGCAGCCAATCTGTGATGGGCAGAATAATGACCACCTAGCCAGAAATGTCCATGTCTAATTCCCAAAATATGTTACTATGTTCTTTTAGATGGCAAAATAGATTTCAGGCATGTAATTAAAATTAGAACCATATGAATGAAAGATTATATCCAGGATTATCTGGGTGGGAGAGAATCTTTCCTGATTTTGGCCAGAGGAAGATGTGACTACAGAATAACGGTCAAAGAGATGTAATGTTGTTTGGCTTTGAAGATGGAAAAAGGGGGACCATTAATTGTGTGGACAGCATCTACAAACTGGAGAAAGACAAAGATGGAGTCTCCTCTAGGGCCTTAGAAAGAAATACATCCCTCCTGACACCATGATTTTAACCCTGTATGAACCATATAAGATATCAGGCCTTTAGAACCATAAGTAATATGTTTTTATTGTTTTAAGCAACACACCTGTGGTGTATTTTTATAGCAGCAATAGGAAACTAACACATAATGCAAGCATAGCTTCTCATGCACCCAGTATATGACTCAACAAGAATTTATCACTCTGCAAGAATAGTATTATCATAGCAAATACTGAAGAATGTGATTCAGTTCTGTTGAACAACCTGGAGAAAAGTAATTTATGACTCCCCACTTCTTTTTTCCACAGAATTTTTAAGAGCAGTTGCCAAAGGCATGCAGTTAATTTTAACTGGAGCCTGTTTTTTTCCTACTAAATTACCAGAATCCATAAGTTAGTTAGTGAAAGAAATTCCTTCACAATAGCCTATACATTTTTGAAATTAGTTATTTCTGTCAGAATTAAAAATATAATAGTAACTGTTTTCCAGAAATGGTATGCTCAAATGAATACAATATGTTTAATTTTAAAGGGGGACTCACATATATATATATATATATATATATACATAAACAAGTTTTAAGTTAATGTGTATATTAGGGATGACAGAAAAAAGCTGAAGGAATAGTACAAGAAATTTTACCACAGGGCAATTTTACTCCCTATTCAGGGCATTCATTGCTGCAATAATGAATGTACAAGAAGATAAACAGGCTGACCTGCTCATAATGAAGCTCAATTATAGTGTCTATCCCAGTTTACTTAGGTCAGTACTTCTATAAGTACTTTTGATTTATTAATCCAGAGTGGTGTGGCCATTGGTGTGAAAACAAATACAAATGATAGACTAAAAGTTACATTTCAACATAGGAGGTCAGCTCATAGATTATATGGAATTTATATCCTTGGTTAGGAAGACATTGGTACCAGATAATGTCTACCGTTATAGCGTGTAGGTTAAGAGCTGGGTTTTCAATTCAAATAGTCTTATATTTCAAACTTTTCATTTTATCAGAATTATGAGCAAATTACTTAAGTGTTCTATGCTTCAGTTTTCTCATGTCAAAGAGGGGATAACGTCAAATTCCTTAGACTTGAACAGAGGGCTAAAAAGAATGAGGGAATAATTAATTAGCACTCTGTACACTACTTTCAACTAAATTTGAAATAAAGAAATAAGCTTTAAAAAGATCCGTTACATCCAGTTAACATTTAAGATGTGTGTTTTTCTGTATTATGTAACATTTTGATTTAAAATATTACATTATTAAAGCATTGTATTGTATTCTCTTGGAGGTAGCACCAAAACTAAATTGAGGGCAGCTTAAATGAGATAAAGCCCCTTTAGTCTCAAATCAAAAAAGGTCAGAAACAGGCAATCCAGGGATGGCATAGTGACTTTGTGATCTTTAGGGGCCCTCATCTCTCAAGTCATTCTATGCTGACTGTCTTCTACCTTTATGTCCTTCCTTGTGTTGCTTTTCGCTGAGCATGCCTAATTGTTTTCCAACCAAGACATACAGTCCAAGCAGAAGGGGGCAATTAGAAAAGGGGGGAAAATAGACCTTTTCTTAGATAACACATATTCCTTTATACAGCCTTCTTGGAGGTTTCCTACAGTAAAAATTTATATATACAGCTCATTGAATATAACACAGCCTATGGCTTATTCCAGGGAGGCTGGGAAAAAAATTTTTAATTTTGGTTTGAGTAAGCATACTAATAATGCCTTAAGTAAAATTTATGGTTGGCTACTAAGGAAGAAAAGATGGATGGACATTGGTTGGTCACTGCATTTTCTGTCACAGATGCTCAGTGTTTCTCAAATGGGAAAGTCAGTTTCACTATTATATCATATCACTGAATAAACATGACACAGATATTTTACTCTCTTAACACCAGTGACACTAAAAAGAGAGCAATTAAAGCAATTATATTAAAACTAACATTGGTATATTAATAAAAAGGAATCATAATCAGTACAAAACTTTTAAGAGAAAACAATATCAGACAAAATGGGGCATGTTCAGGGTGGTACGGCCATACTAAAAAAACAATATAAAAGATAGGTGGCTCAGGCGGTTGAACACAGCGTTGTGAAGCTGTCCACAGCCTCTGCAGTGCGCGTTCAATCTCTGTTCAATCCCTGCTAGACATGGAGATACCCAAATGGTGAGCAGATCTCTCCTGTCTCACCTGCTGCTCTCCTCAGCAGTGTATTTCAGTCTGCCTGTTCTGTTCCCCACTCTGTCTCTGGTGAATCCTCTCACCCTCCCGCACATCTGGCCTGTACCCTAGTTCTTGTATAAATAAAAAAATCTTTTTTACCCTCGCCAGCGGCCAGGGAACAAACCGGCGCTGCAGAGGCCGCGAGCAGCCTCACAGCCCAGCGCTCAACCGCTGCGCCACCAGGGGAGGCCCTAAATAAATCTTAAAAAAAAAAAAGTTAGGTGCTACGAAAGAGAATAAAGCAATAGCCAGACATCACACTGTGCTCTTTCCTTTCTGTGTA